GCTAGTCGTCTCACTCATCCCATCCTAATTTTTGGTTGAGAATAGACTTCGGTGACGAACAAATTCGATGGCGAATCAATCTCATTATCTTCGGTGGCGAATCGGCTTCGGTGACGAACAGATTTGGTGGTGAAAAATATTGTTGCCATCTCTAAACTATTACCTCCAAACAAATAAGTTAAAGAACTGTAGAACTACATCTAGCTTTTGCCGGTTCATTCTCCATAGCCATTAGCAGACACCCTGTTTTCAAGAAGCTTCGCCTCAGACCAAGATATCCACATACTCTCCTTCACTCTGCTCGCCGAAAACAATTCTTGAAGACCGGCTCAAAAACAGCTGGCATTCGATCCTAGCCGAATTCTAAGAAAACAATTCTAGAGGCTAAGGGATGTTCTTGGACTGTGAATGCACTAGCATTCTTGGCTCTCTGGCCAACCGAATGTATCTACTAAGATGTCTGTGATCTACACGTCAGCCAGCCATAGAAATTCTTGTTTTCTTTCTTTCTTTCTTTAGCCTATCCGCCAGTTTTTGTTCTACAGACAAAAGAATTTTTTCAAGTCAGAAATGATGCCACCAAGAAGAGGACCATAACTGGACCACAACAAGGTTCAATTGGTGGTACTTCGAAATTCTTCGCAAGTTTACAACAAGCACATTGTCAAGAAGTGTCCGGCAAAGATGCCGCCTCGGAGAAATCAACAAAAATACATACAAGATTTACTCATAGAAGATCTATAACGGGAGATACAACAACTGCAACAAAGATTAGCAAGGCTTGAGCAAAGGAAAGCGGTTGAACGTCAAAAAAAAGGTGAAGACATTCATCATTTTTCTCAAGATCTTTTGAGTCAGGGATGGGGTCTCTCGGACAATCAGATCCCTTCTTCCTACAAAGACCTATTTAATCATATGTCTTTCTCCACACTTTTGATTGAGTCCATCTTCGATGGGCTAAAAGATCTGTTGTCATTATTATCATCTTTGCCTGTTTATGATGAGTCATTGTATGATGAAGACATATTTGTAGTAGTTCTTGATCTTGATCAACCCATATGTGATGTTGACAAGGGCAAGGTGGACGCACCTCCGGAGTTAGTCATTCCTATCATTCCTAATAAAATAACAAATATGCTCACCGTCATTGAGAGCAAAATTGGTATGACCAAACTTGACCACGACAACCACCTTGGTACCTTCATGCATTCCGACACAAAATCCTTGAGACGATCGCTATGGATGTTGATATTTGCATAGTTGATCAGTTTGATATCAAGTCCACTTCAACTCTTGAAGAGTATCATTTGAATGTGCTAATAAAGACGTATTCTGATTTTGTCAGCTATCCTATTTTTCATTGTGGACCTCGGAAAGGGATCCGCTCAGTAGGGGATAGAGTGCAGAGGGTACGACCACACCATCCCAAAGGACGAGATGATCGCAGGCCTTCAGGCTCTTCGCAAGCGGGTCGATGGGATAACAGATTAGATCATGCATACGATCAACCATTGAGGATAACGACTTTCGCCCACATACATCGATGTTATGTGTGATAATATGCATGACATGATCAGTGTCAGGGGTTTCCCCCACCCGATACATCAGGTCAAGTGGCGTTTATTTGTTGTGGAATTCCGTTTCCCATGGGCGCAAGTTCCCATGATTAATTACATCTCAGGCCGGAACCTGAGAATACTCTCGATTAAGGATCTGACATTATGCTTTCCAAAGGGAATTGCACACAGGGCGGAGACTAGGAAGTTCCTACTCAAAGGGAAAAAAGGGTTCAAGTGGGCATAGTCAACATGCACAATTCTTACCAATATACGGAATGACTAAGATGCTGAAAAGAAACTGGAGAAAAAGAAAACAATGCATCCAAAGCATGCATAAGGGAAGGTTGGAGGTGGCGTCATCCATGTGACGCGGATAGGTAGAATTTATAGCCCCTAAAGGATAGGAAACTTACCCACCGATGAGGCGTACTACAAGACACCGAATGTAGTAGCCTTTAACCCTAAATCTATAGTGAGTTTAGTGTTCTATATCCAACACTAACACCCGTGTCCTAACAAATGCATCATGGACTTATATCCTACTTGAAAAGGAAAATCATCTAACCACATAAATGCATAAAATCCATAATATCCAGTCTTTATGAAAGATGGGTAGGTAGATCAATTTTTTGGAAGTTAAGGATGACATCTAGAGAGGTCCTAAGTAGCCTTGGACTAACGTAGCCGTAGGGTGAATGTTTCTAGAGCTAATGCAATTAAAATTTAATTTTAATTAGATTCTAATGTAATGCAAGTTGGTTAAAAGCTTCAAGTCAAGTATGCATGAAATTTTAAAAAATACTTATAAAAATAATTTTTTAGAAAGAATGTGCTTCCCTAGGCCCGGCACCTCATCCTCATAGGTCAGATTATTCAGGTTCCTACCAGTAGGCAGGGAAGTGTCTTATAGCAAGGGAGGAGAGAAATGCAACAATATGCATGCGACCCCGGACGATTCTGGCTATTCCCTAGATTGTTAGATTTCTAAGTTATTTAATTCTTAAAATTTTAGATATTAGTTATAAATAGAAAAATAATTTGATTCATAAAGAGACTAATGAAATCAGGACACACATGCAAAAAAAAAACCTAGAAAAAGCATATAATTTCTACTGCGCACACAAAGTGAACACGCTTAGCGATGTGATTAATGAATGATTGGAGCTCAATCATTCACTAATCCTTCTCCCATGAATGATATTCATATGCATAATCAATGTTAAAAATTTCACAAAGTGAATCTCTAAAAATTAAGGGATTTAATAATATCTAATTTTAAAATAATTTAAAAACACATATATATTAAATAAAAAAATATATAAAGTAAAAAAATAAGATAATTCAATGTATGTAAACATATGAGAGATCCACTGGTCAACCAAGAGTGAGATTAAAGTAATTTCAAAATAGTTTTCTACTTTCAAAATAATTAGTATATTAGTTATTTAAATACTATTTAAATAATAAAAATAATCCAATAATAAATAAATAATTCAAAAAAGTAGGTTTTGATACCTGAAAAAAAATTTAAATAAAAATACATAATTTTCTGAAAAATTTAAGGTATTATATCAAAATTTTGAATTTAAAATGAATTTACTACAAATATTTAAAGTTTAAAATAAAT